GGGCAGCCCCTACGAGGAGAGGCTACGGGACCTGAACCTGTTCAGCCTCCACAAGAGAAGGCTGAGGGGGGATCTAGTGGCCTGTTACAAACTAGTCAGAGGGGACCAGCAGGCACTGGGGGAGTCCCTGTTCCCCCGAGCACTACCAGGAGTGACTAGAAATAATGGTCACACGCTGGCAGAGGGTAGATTCAGACTAGATATCAGGAGGTGCTACTTCACTAGCAGGGCAGCTAGGATCTGGAACCAACTTCCAAGGGAAGTGGTGCTGGCTCCTACCCTGGGGGTCTTTAAGAGGAGGGTAGACGAGGACCTTGCTGGGGTCATTTGACCCCAGTACTTTTTACTGCCGTGGCAGGGGGTCAGACTAGATGATCTGCTCAGGTCCCTTCTGACCCTACCAACTATGAAACTATAAAATGTAATAGGCATTGTTCAGCATTGGCTGCCTTTAATTAACTTAATAGTTGGTTTCCATTACTGAGCATCTGCAGCTATGGGCAGCAGTTTAATGATAAACAATCTATTTAGGGAGATGCAATTATAAGATCAGAGGTTTTTCTCCCATGCCATATGGGGAAGAACCTCGTCTTGTATTCAAGTAAATTTGGTATATTACCTAAGTTCCTACACTTGCTTCCTTGCTTTACAATAAGTTCAGACAGTCTTTTCAGGAAATTCAATGCACGTGGTTAGGCATCTTCTCCATGTACAAAGGGATTTCTTCGCGTCACAATCTTGAAGAAATTGTAACCTAAAATTACTCTAGCAGACTATCTTTTATTCTTTAGAATCCTAAAGTGGAATGTTTATAAAAATTGCCTCTAGGTAGGGCAAATTTTTTATTCCAAGGCACTAATGCAAGGGAGCCACAAGTCAAAGTAACTGGTGTAGCCTTAATTCAGTCTGTTATGAGGCAAAAATCGTGTTGGGTGTTTCAGGTACTACAGAAACAGACATCATAGCAATGTCTGACAACAGAGCAGGAACTTGGCAGTGAGAAAAGTAACTCATTCTAAGGGAGCAGATTTCATCTGTGGATCCCTAGGGATTTTGCAAACATCATTACATTTTCATAGCACCCATGGAAGTTAGATGAGGTTTACAAAGTAGAACTATTTAACATTTTTCCCTGAAAAAATTAAGAAACTCTTGTTGGTCTGTAGCAAAGCTACAGAAGGTCTAGACCCTTGACTCAGCCTTTGTGCTTTAACTGATGGTTATTGTAGAAATCATGGGGTGCATTGAGACGAGTGTGCACATGCATTTCCCCGGGGACAGATAGCAGTGGCACATAGTTGTGCTGCTGCTACTTGTCCCTGGAGAATGCCAGTGCAGCGTATTCTAGCGCACAGCAAGTTGCCGTGGGTGAGGTTAGGGGAAGCTGGAGCCAGCACTTGGGGATTCCTTATCTGGGGTACTGGCACTTGGAGCCTGGCCACTAATGAGTGTGGCTCCAGCTGGCCTGGCTCTGATTTCCGGTAGCCCATGCTCCTGCTGTGTGCGCTGCCCCTCTTTTTTTTTTTTTTTTTTTTTTCAGGTGTGATCATGGGGATTTCCCAGTGTCAAAAAATACCCCCAGGAGTGCTGCAAAATAGCAACGCAGCGAATGCCTGCACATGCAGTGGGTGCAGTGCTGTGGTGCCAGAGACTGTGCATATGCACTCATCTGGACACACCCATGATGTCTAAATGATAAGCTTATTTGAAGGCTGGAACAGATTTTTTTTTTTTTTTTAGATAAGGGGCAGACATCGTATTTAAATCTTAACTATACTTTCTAAAGACTCTTTCTAAGTTGGCCCTTTGTCCTGTTGCTTGGGCTTGAGCAGCAGTGAGGATTTCACTCTGTGCTTACTAAACCAAGCTCTATAAAGTCTGCCACTAAACCTTTTTCCCCACTGTGAGTTGGGTAAAGCCTATGTTCTAACCCAAGTGAAGCCTCCGCCCTTTGCTAAATTAGCTCAAATAAACACGAACAAAAACCAAGTGTTATGAGCTGTGTGTTTAAATGGGTGTGCACACTCAGCAATATAAATGAACTCTGGGTAAACTTCATTACGAAGCTGCCACGTTACCCTCTCCCAGATCTAGTAACACACCCAATTATTTAGAAGTGGATTCAGTATTTTATTTTTTCCCATCTCCTTTTTATCTATCTTTTATCAGTCTAGTGTGAAGGTTGGGTCACATAAGGATGCATGCAGATGGTCCTTAATAGTTTGAGTAAGGGAAAAGGAAGATCAGGCATGTCTTGAGGTTTATTTTTTTGTGATCTTTGATGGAGAAGCATCTTTTGCCTCTTCTTGCAGTCTATTAACATGCAGTGTTCTACCATTTGGACAGTAAGTGAGAATCTGTCAGCAAAGCTAGTGTCAGCTTTCAGCAAGCTGGGAAAGTGTGTTTTAGCAGTATGCGATGCCCTCACTGGAAGTAACTGTACCTCTTTCTCAGTTGCTTAAAACATTTGTAGGTTACCTGTTATACTATGCATGTTGTAAATAAAGATCACTTGCTGAAACTGTTTAGCTCAGTTCTGTGGTACAGTTTTTTCTTTTTCTCATTAAATCATTTAATACTAAAACTTAACCAGTTTGGATGAATGAAACATGCTGGTTACTATAATCACAATGCTTAAAGTATGTTCGGACTTCTGCAATCTGCTTCTTTCAGACTCATTCCTAAAAATGACTTACCTGTATGTTCTTATATCTGTGTAAATTGGTGCTGCTTAACCCTTTGGCCACATGGAACAGATAAGTAGCATAGGGTTGGCACATGGGAATCAGGCCCTGCACTGCCTCAGCCCTGCATGTCTAATCTAGCATGCAGGGCCATACAGTCTGGCTTGCTGGGCTCCTCCTGGTTGCAGAAATTTGGCAAAAAGGGGAATGGCAATTAATGCTCCCAGTGCTCCCCTGCTGCCAATTTTTTTTTTTTAAATTGTGGGGAGCCTGGCAGGCCAGTTCTGTCCTGGGTGCTGAATACCCTGGTGTGATTGATTTTCAGCCACAATACACTTTTTCCCCACAGTCATCTAAGGTGTTGCACAAACAAGAGCTTTTCATTTTGGAAGTACAACCCAATCATTAAAAGTAGAACCCAGACAGCCCCAGAAAAATTCCTTTAAATTGTTCACGTAATATTTTATGTGCACATTATAAATGTATTGTATGCAAGGTGTCTAGACCAGTGGTGCCCCACTCATTTGGGACTATGGGGCCAGGCCAATGGTACCAACCTTGTGCAGAGAGCTGCATCATTTGTCCCCAGTCCAGTATGTAGGGCTGACTTTTATCTGGAAGCCGCAGCAATAAATGCTGCCACTGCTCCCCCTTTGCCAAATTTCCAGACCCATGGGAAGCCCCATGGGCTGGATGACAGCTCTGCCAGCTGGATCCAGCCTGTGGGCCATATCTTGGTTGCTTCTGCTTTACAGTAATACTGCTGCTGATGGATGGTAATGCCTTTGTGTTTAACATTGACCCTTAAAGTGAAAGTTTAGGATGACTTTGGTTTCAGAAAATGCTTACCTATTTTTGCTATGGTTGGCCTTAAACACTTTTTAAACAACTGTTGTGCTTGTAGGGAAGAAGAACAAGTTGAGAGTTTACTACTTGTCCTGGTTAAGAAATAAAATTCTTCATAATGATCCAGAGGTAGAAAAGAAACAGGGTTGGACAACTGTGGGTGACTTGGAAGGCTGTGTGCACTATAAAGTTGGTAAGTAGCAAAAGAATTATGACAATCTGTCAGGATAAAATTAGGTTAACAGAGAAGTCCTGCTAAGCTTGTCACTGATGTTTATATAAACCGGTTTCTCTTAGCATTAGTCATACCAAAATCACATGTTAAGATCGAATGAAAAATGCCTACAGTTTTTATTTAGGTCTTGAAGGCTGACTGTTGTCAAAGCAAAACAGCAGTATGCTAGATTTGGAGGGCATCGTGCAACAAGAACATATGTTTAAATTAATGATGATTCATTGATTTCCTTTACCTCATCATGTTTCCTAAGGCACACACACACACTTGCTCAAGTACACTTGTGGGCAGATGTTTGTTTCCATTAGACAAACTGTTTTTAGCAGTTTTTTTCAATTGGTGAAATGTGGTTGGTCATAGAACTCTTTAAAACATGTGCTGGATGGTTTGACATCTGGCATGGCCGTACATATCTATGAGCCTACCCTCCTGCAGGGGGAGATGCAAGCAGATGTTAGTATGTGTGTGCTGCCTCTGCTGCTCCAGTTTCAAAACAAGATCTCCTGATGCTGCAGCAGAATCACTGAATGTTGGGTGGGGTTTGGGTTTGTTTTTACTTTAGAGCAAATTCATTGTTTCAGCTAGCCCAGAGTTTCAAATTAACATTGCCTTTTTGAAGTTGTGGCAGTCAGTGTGGAGTCCCAGTCTGAACAGTGGTCAAACTTCTCTGTGCACATGCGCACACAAAATCTTGAAACACCTACTAGTTGGGAGCAGTCAATAAATATCTCAGGAAGAAATTGCTGAACCAAAAAGCTGACCCAGAAAACAATTTATAGTGTACTTCTCCTAAGGGTGTCAGCAGCCTAATGAAGTGACCTGTTAACAATACATTAACAGCTATTTAAAGGAGACTCTGGCAATGAAGAATGTGAAACTGAGAGCATTGTTTTCTGGGTGAAGAGTGATTTGTTACACTTGGCTGCAGCCTGGGAATGAACTTTACTTTGAACAATAAATATACAGAAGATCTCCTCCAGGACCAGGGAGACCTCTTTGACAAGTCATTTTAGTTCCTTGAAAATAGTTATATCTGCAGATCTAAACAGCAGTGCAGTTCTGAAGCTGACAGTGTGGCTCTGATTTTGAGTGACTTTGGCATTTACGGATCTTGGAAATGCTCCCAGCAGTTTGTGCCCCTACTAGATGATACATTCCTCTTTTTATAATAAAGGCTGATTCCAGAGAGCACCTAAAGCAACCACGAAAGGAATTTCTTGTTACCTATACTGTGAATGGATTGGCAGAAAGAAAAGGAAGCCAGACTGTTCATAGCATCTGATGAAGTTGCTGCCTACAAATGCTTATTTTTCTTTGAACCAGTTAGTCTCTAAGGTGCCGCTGTACCATACCTTCTGCCTAATTTCAGACTACACTGCTGACCACCTCTGTCTGGTAGGGGTTCTGTATGTGAACATCATCTTATGTCAAGACTGACAAAGGTAAACAAAAGCTCAGTTTTAGAGACAGAACTAGTCCAATTGAAAAAGCCTGTGCATGATTTGTTTTACATGACTAGGCCATTGTGCATTGGCAACTGCAAAGTTCTTGGCAGAGGAGAAACCTGTGTCCGGTGGCAAGGAGATTCAAGGTGTGGGGTTACTCTTCCACTGCAGCCTTCATCTGTCTTCATAGCTGTTGAAGCATATACCGTATGCCATCTTCATCTGCCTGCCCCACTGTGGAGGTCTTGGTTATCTTGGACTGATACCTCACCTTTGACCTTACCACCATGGGTGACCCTACCAGAAGTACAAGACTCATGATGGTATTGCTCTTGGGGTCATTGGTACATGCAAACCTCTCCACCCCATCAAGGTGACAGAACTCATTCAACTGGGGACTTGATGTTTTTTGTCATCAGAGGTTTTTCCAATCTTTAACACCTACAGTTCATGATTCTTACTACCCTACTGAGCAAGGGGAGTGAAAATCTTTGAGAAGAACATCTCCACATCCCTTCTGCATACCAAGAAGAAACAGTTATTGACTTGTGTATCAGTTAAAAGAAAGCATAGGTAGGAAGTATTTAAAATCAATTTTTAAAGAAATATATAATGTTTCCTTAAAATCCATGCTGTGTCTGAATGTGAAAAATTATTTTATGTTCAGAAAGTCCTTGCTACAACATTTATAAGGAAAATGAAGAGAACATGAGATGAATTCAAAACAAAAAACCCTTTTTTGTCCAAACGAAGAGCTCATGAGCTGCTAGAGGCTCCTGGACACCCAGTACCTCTTTGCTGCAACCAGCTCTTTCATGTTTGACTCCAAACATTGTGCCAGGGCCATGCTCAGGATGGCTTCTCACTGAGTACTAGTGAGTGCAGTTTTGATTTGTTGGTTTTCATCACTGAGAAGATTTTCACGCTACATGTGCCTGTGAGCATGAATAACATTCTTGATGCCAAGGTTTTTATTGCTGGTTCTCCCAGGTAGTGGTAAAATTCATGAAGCCTGACGGTTGATGGAAGGTAAGGCAGGGTGGTACCTTGGGCCTCTCGCAGACATGGCTAACCAGTTAATCATGTCTTAAATAGTAACCTGGCCCATGTCCAGGTAACTGGTGGTGCAATAAATGAGAAATTAAGCCACAAAACTATTTTGCAGAATGTGTAATAATTTTGCGTTGGTTTCCATTGCACCTTAAATTGAACATGTGGCAGGTGGACTGCACTGGAGTCTCTGACTGGTAGTAGTGTGGTCACAGCTAGCCACTGATCAGCTGATCATTGTTGGACTATACTGGAGTTCAAACTAGTCCTGGTGCAGTCCTGCTGACCAGGCATCCAGCCAGCCTTCAGCCTGCTGCTGCAAGGGGAGCCTCGAATCATGCTCCCAGGCTCCCCCTGCACTGGTAAGTAGGGTGCAGTTGGGATCTAATCTCCAATCCCAAAATCACACTTCCTGCCATGCATATGTGGCAATGATAGGAGGCACAGTTGTTGGGACTGGTGGTCAGATTCTATTGCACTTTTAAGTGAATATCTCTCGTTGGCACTAGAGACCATGCTAAAGATCAGTGAGTTCCATTTGCAGCCTTTCAGGAGCATATTCCATAAGAACAGAGAACAGGGGCTGAAAAGTCTGAACTCTGCTTCATAACTCCAAAAGTCAGAAATTCCGTCCTGGAATCAGCAGGTTTGACCATGTCGTTCTCCATGCTCTCACGACCTTCATTCCCAGTGGCATTGAACAGCAATTCCAAGGTGGGGAACTATGCTACATTGCATCAAGAGCTGTTCATCCCAAAGAGGGGCTGCATTTCCGAGGCATGCATAATGTTGTAAAAATCAGTCAAAACCTGGTTCTGACCCCTCATTCTTGTGTTCAGCATATTCATATGTTCAAAGAACACCCTGCAACTCAGCTGGCATACTTCAGCATAATACAGCACCTGTCCTGAAAATCACCTTTCTCCAAGAACCGGTTGAACTGTGGAAGGCTAAGAGCCCTGGCCCACATGAAATTCACTGTTTTTACCAGAACATTCATCATGTGGTCTGTGCCAAGAGCTTTGGTAAAGAGTTTCCTGATTCAGAATGCAATGAAAAACACAAATGCTCATGGCTGGCATTGATACTCTTCACTGTCTCTTGAAACGCTCGCTGCCCTTTTCTAGTCCACACCTAATTTGTCCAAAGTTGAGGTCATGCTGTTGAAAATATCTTTTGTAGGTGTGTCTTTCATTGGCACAATCTCCAGACTTCTCTGTTGCATTCATACCTTGATCAACAGTCCTCATTGTGCAGTGTCACTCGCATCTGAGCTTTCATCAGTTGCTTTTGAAATGCAGAATACCAAAATTGTTTGATGCCCCCATCTTAAACAATAGGGACAATAGCTACAAACAGAGATTTACCAGATGACCAGTCCTAGAATTTGTGAACTTGCTACATTATAACATTAGGAACATATTACCATTTTTGATAAATGTATTTTTCCTTGAACATCATGAACCAAATGGCAGCAATTACTGCATTGTAACTTCTGTTTCTGGGGGGAAAAACAACCCCCTTTTCCCTACCCAGTTCCCCAAATCCCTGAAACCCAAAACTTCATAAAACTGGCAAGAAATGGACAAGAATATTGCATGTTTATATAGTATTTTTCTTTAATAAAAAGATTGCTATGCATTTTACTGATTGGAGGATATTTTCGTTCTTTTCTCTTTCTCCTGTTGTACCCTACCAGGGAATCTAAACTCTAAGATAAGAAGAGTACACTTTAGCTATCACCTGAAATGTTAGCTTTTCTCTTAGTGTTGGAGTGATGTTGCAGCCATGATGATTCAGGAAGTAGGTGAGAGGCAAAGATTTCTGTGGGTGATATATTTTATTGGGCCAACTGTATGATTGCAATAGACCTAAACAAACTTTGGACTTCAGACCTGATGAAGAATGCATTGCATTCAAAAGTTTGTCTAAATCTATCCCAGCCATGCAGTTGGGTCCAATAAAAGATAGTCATCTTGATTATATTATTGTAACTAGATGAAATGTGATGTAGCTAAAAGAAGAATGAACTGTAGCTAAAAACCTTCAAATATTTAAAATAATTTAGTGACTAAACTCTTTTCTTGCTTCCTAAAATCCCGAGTTTTTGGAGTTGCTGCTGAGTGAGTTTTTCTCATTTCATTTCAGTAAAATATGAAAGAATCAAATTCTTGGTAATTGCTCTGAAGAGTTCTGTGGAAGTCTATGCATGGGCACCAAAGCCATATCACAAGTTTATGGCTTTTAAGGTAACTTTTTCACTAATATTTTGAGCTTCAGTATCTATTTGCAGTTACAGAACTGCATCTTCAAAAATATTGAAGATGAACTGGTGTAAGTTATATTGGTGGCCTTAAATGTGCATCATGTGATCAGTTTCATTCAGTAAATTTCACAGCACACAAACCTGCTCCACCAACTACCTAGTGGTTGGGGTCTGTAATCCCTCCTACTGCAGGGATGACCAGTGTGCTGCACACATGCCACAAATGACTTGGGAAGCCTTTGTGTGTGGCACGTAACCGATCAGGGAGGGAGCAGGGAGCACAGTGGCAGATAAGGTAGGGAGCAGAAAACAAAGTAACATATTGGGCAGGGGATTGGAGAGGCCATCAGGGAGGGTGAAGGTCTTGCTTTGTGGCATGTCTGCCAAAAAGGTCAACTCCCACTGACCTATGTCAGCTAGGTTGAGAGAGCTGATTGTGTGTTGATCCCCTTACTCTGGAGTACGTTTATTATGAAATGAAATTTGGTGTCAGGTACTTCACTGTCATCATCGGGGATCCTGGTTTTCTCTGATTTAAAAAAAAATCCCCAATTTTCAGATGAAAAAAGTAACCCAAAATCCACATTTTTTTTTTTTTAGTAATTAAAATGAAACGCCACTATATGTACTTCTGTATATTGGTGGCGTTTCATTTTAATCACGGAAAAATGTGGATTTTGGGTTACTTTTTTAAATCTGGAAATTGGGGATCCTTTTTTTAAATTGGAGAGAACCAGGATCTCTGGTCATCATGTCAGGTACCCAAGCTATTGCATGAACTATAAATTCACAAAAAAAGATTTGAAGTGTTCAAGAGTTTGGAAACCATGCATCTCTAAAAACAGCAAGTTGTTTTAGTTTATATGGCTAAATTCTGAAAGCCGTTGAGTGCTCTCACTTCAGTTAACACCTCACTCTACAGGTTTGGCAGGTTGAGTGTGGCTTTTGGAATCCCATTTTAGTACAGTAGGCTCTGCCAAGATGCTGATCTGATTGTATTTATTTATTTATTTATTTTTGATTGCAGTCATTTGGAGAATTGGTACATAAGCCATTGCTGGTGGATCTAACTGTGGAGGAAGGTCAAAGGCTGAAAGTGATCTATGGTTCCTGTGCTGGATTCCATGCTGTTGATGTAGACTCGGGATCAGTCTATGATATTTATCTACCAACACATGTAAGAACTGGCACTCTGGAGAGGATTATTATTTCTTACCTTTTTTTCTGCTTCTCACTGAGAGTGATAAACAGGTGGACAGACACTGATGGTACTGGCTGTATGATCAGAGTGAGAGCCATCCAAAAGAAGGGTCATCTTGTGTCCTTCAGTATGCTACTTTGGCTGCTGAAATGCATGTTTTTCACTTGTGGGTCACTTAAAAGAAAATCTTGCACTTAAATCATTCCCTCTACATCTAAATAAAAGGTACCCTAAAATCGTCTCCTTCCGAGATTGTTTGCTTCCAGACCATTAATAGTCTTGTAAAAAAACAAGAAAACAAACAAACTTGTTTGTTTTGTCATTGTGGCTGAACTGTTTTATATCAGGATTAAATTTAAAATGTAAATTTAATTTAGACAAATTAAAGTCACCCTCCTCTACTTCTGAGTCAGAGATTTAGGAGATCTTTGTGTGTTAGTATTTTATTTTATTTTTTTAATTTAAATTATATGTTTGGAAGGGGGAAGTCTGAAGGGGGAAGCATGATGAGTGTTGGAGCAGTGAGTTCCACATCCTGTGGCATACAGCAGAAGCAGAATCATTGCTTTGCTTACAACAGCAATAGGCTCACTAACTGGTGGGTAGAAAGAGAAGGCAGAGCACAATATTACCTCCTCCGTGTCCCAGCATGCTTCCAATTTGACTGAATAAGATTTAAAAAGGGCAGCTCCATTGTAACCATTAAATAGCTTTAAGAATGGTTCTGTGTGAATTGGAGTTCCTTTGTAAGTTTGATCTGGTGTGTTTGGGTTCCCTTTTGCAAAGCTAGTCTTTTTTTAACACAAAGATTACATAAATAAATTCAACACATTCCTGCCTTAAGCTACTCCTAATAACCACTCCAGACATACAAATTTTTATTATGAACTCAAAAATGTATAGTGAAAATAAGATACAAATAGTATGTACGTATATAACAAGTGTCATGTCTGTTAGGAAACAGTAAATAGCACAGCTTCTCTGCATAATTATGCTATAGAAACATTAATTTAATGCATTTTCAAACTTACATTTTTCCTTCAACTTGTTTTAATAATGGAGGATCAAACTTCTCAAAAATAATTTTGAGTATATAGTACTTGAACATTGATGGGAGTAGCTAACAAGTAATTTTCAGAAAAAATGTCTGCAGTCAAATACAAATGGTAATAATTTAAAGAAGTGTGCTGCATCTTAAAAGATTACCTGAATTGATTTTTTTTTTTTAAATATTGATTTTAAAAGTGTTAGAAGAAATGCCAAATTATTCCCATGCTGTGAAGAAACAATCAAGTACTTTGGGGATTCCTCAGAGGGATTTTCCTTGTTAGTCTTTCAAGAGCCAAGTACAGAGAGAACTCATTGTGG